AATAATATATAATAATAATAAAATAATAATAATATATATATATATATATATATATATATATATATATATATATTACCAAATGCAGACATGTTTTGTTTTACATTTAGATAACTTGTTAATTATAAACTGCATGCACTAAATATATTATTTAAAATACAGAACAATAATCCTTTAATATTAAATGAAAAATATTATATTCCAGCTATAAAAGCACCTAATGTAATCGAGAAAATAGAATATATTTAATATTTATTCATTTTAAATGTCGAAATTATAAATAAATTAACTAAAAAACAAAAATATAATTGTTTTTCTGAATGAAACAAATCTTTTTTTAATTTATTTAATTATTTTATTTAATTGATAAATATTTTTTTGTAAAATAAAATATTTATTTTACATTGGTATTGGAACAAAATATAAAGCATTTAATCCAAAAAACATATTAGTCAAATAAATAATTGAAAAAATTAATGTCTATTTGTTTTAGTTTATTATTTAAATTATATTATTAAATTTTAAAATTTTCTCATTATTATTTAAATGCATTTAATCAATTAAAAAGCACATAATAAAATTAAATAATTATTCAATTAATAGAAGCTATATATATATATGTTTTATTTTATTTTCTTTCTTATTTAAATAAAAAATTAAATTACACTGCTTCCATTTACAAAAGGATAATTTGTGAATAGATATTTAACAGATATTGAAAAAAAGCCTGAAGATATTCCATAAAAAGTACATATTAAAATAGCTTTTAACATTTATTCTTTTTTTTTATATATAAATTTTATTACGTGTATTTTAGTTTTTTTTTTTTTTTTAGATTTTTTTAAAAAAATAAAATTATTATTGTATTAAATTAAGTTTTTTTTGATATTTTGTATAAATTTTTAATAATATAATCATAATTTATTTAATTTTTTAATCTTTTGTAAGTATATGCACCTTTATATTTAAATTTTCAATTTTTTTTTTTTTAAAAAAATATTATATATAAAAATAAAAAAAATAAAAAATTATTATTAATAAAATGGCTGATTTATGTGAAGAATTTAGCAAAAATAATTAATCTAGTAAATTAAAGAAAATTATATTTAATTAAAAAAAATTACAAAAATAATAATTTGAATACAATAAATATAAATAAATTTATAATATATAATTATTTATTAAATAAATAAAAAAGATATTAATGATGATGATGATTATGAAGAAGAAAATTAAGATGAAGATTAGAAAAAGGAACAATTAATTTCATTAAGTTTAAATGAAATAGATGCAAACTTAAATAATTAAACATAAAAAGAATATAATAACGAACTATAACTAAGTTAGAATGTATTCATTAAAATTTAAATATCAATTTTCCATTAAATATATATATATATATATATATATATATATATATATAGTCTGAATTTTTTGGTATTAATAAACTTTTATATAAAAAACCAGATTAAAATGATATTAAAAATATGCTAAACCGCAAGTAATAAAAAATATTTATTTAAAAAATAAAAACGATATTAAAAAAGAAATCTTATTTATTTTTTTTTTAAAAAAAAAAAAAAAATTTAATAAATATTTTAAAACAAAAAATTTTAATAAATATTTTGATATTAATATAATATGTATTTAATTTTTTTTAATTTTAAAAAACAAAAAATAAATAAAAAGTGAGAACTCGCCTAAACCAACAGCATATCCTCCTGAACCTCAAATAAAAACGTATATTTTTTTTTTTTAAAAAAAAAAAAAAAAAAAGGGACAGAATTTGTTTTACTTCCTCAAAGTCCAGAATTTATAATAAATTCGGAATTATTTGAACCTATGTATACTCCTTAACAGACAATTTTAGAAGAATCATTACGCCGAGAAATTGAGCGTATTTGTTTTGCCGATTCTTTAATAAATAGAGTTGTTTATGATTGTGGTGATTAAAGTCTATATACGAAAGTAATTCATATATACATATTTAAAAAATAATTTTTTTTAAAAAAGGATATTGATCCATAAAAATATGATATGGATGTTTTACCTTTTTACATTCCATAATCTTAAGAAGACATAACTTTAGTATTTGAATCTCGTTTTGAGTCTGGTAATTTAAGGAGGGCAATCTAAATATGCGATTATGAGTATAATTTAATTTTAAAGCCTGATTATTTTACTACAGGACATACTTAATGGTTTTATTTCTCTGTGAGTAATACAAGAAAAAACATCGTATATAGATTTAATATAATAAATATGATGAAACCTGATTCATTATATAATTCAGGAATGAAACCTTTAATGTATTCTTAAAAGAAAGCAAAAATAAAAAAACTTGGTTGGTATAGAGATGGACACGATGTATGTTATTATCAAAATAATATGAAAAGAAAAAATGCTGGTTTTTATTACACTTTAACTTTTGCAGTTAAATTTGCGTATGATAATGATTGTGTTTATTTTGCACATTGCTATCCTTATACATATAGTTAGTTATGTAGATATATTAGACTTATAGAAAATGATCCAGTTAAAAAGCATAGGGTTAAAAGGAAAAATATGTGTTAAACTATAGCTGGAAATAAGTATTTATATTATATACATATGTATAAATTTTGGTTTATTTATTTTTATAGTTGTGATTATTTAATTATAGGAGACTTTAATAATTAAAAAGATAAAAAAGGAATAATGTTAACTAGTAGAGTTCATCCAGGTGAAACTATGGCTAGTTATGTAATCGAATACGTGATAGATTTTTTACTAGGGAATTCTCCTGTTGCAAGGGTTTTGAGAGAAAATTTCTATTTTAAAATTATTCCAATGTTAAATGTAGATGGAGTTCTTAATGGAAATTACAGGTGTGGGTTGGCCGGAGTAGATTTAAATAGATAATATTAAGACCCTTCTAAAAAATTAAATCCTACTATCCTTGGCACAAAACAGTTATTAAAATAATTTAAAGAAGAAAGGGATGTTTTACTTTATTGCGATTTCCATGGACATTCTAGAAATAAAAATATTTTTATGTATGGTTGTGCGGGTAAAGATCTAAATAAAAAAGAATAAATTTTCCCACTTTTAATGAGAAATAATTGTAATGTTTTCTCTTTTAAAGATTGTTCATTTTAAATTTAAAAAGATAGAGAAGGATCTGCTAGGGTTTTATTTATATTAATTTTTGTTTTTATTTATATATAAACTATAGATTGCTTTGTGGAAAGAATTCAATATTTAAAATTGTTATACCTTAGAAATTTCTTTTTGTGGTGCAGATATAGGAAAGTATGAGTATTTTCATTTTAATTAAGATATATATAAAGAAATTGCTTAAAGTTTCTGTTTATCTATTATTGATTGTTTCGAACCTGAATAATTAAAGGTATAAAAAGTATAAGAGGAAATTGAATAAATGATACTTAAAAATGATAATAAAAAAGATGGAGATAAATAACAAAATAGGTATATTTTTATTTTTTTATTTTAAAATAAAAATCAAATTTTATTAGTGATGATGAAGATTCAGATTATTCAAATGAAGATTAAAATGATAATGCGTAGTACTAATAACAAATACAATAATAATAAAATAATAGCAATATTAATAATACTACTACTATTAATAATAGTAATATTAATAACCTTAATTATATAAATATTAAAGATAATAATATCAATTTAAATACAAATAATAATTTAAATACTAATAATAATATTTAGACTGAAAATTTAAAGTTATTTCCTAAAAAATAATATTAAAATGTTTCATCTTCTTAAAAAAAGAAAAAATGAATAAAATATTACATACATATTTACCATATATGAACAAATGTCTTTTAATTTTTAATATAAGAGAAGTTTTAATTTTAATATTAAGTAAATATTTTTTAAAAATAATAGTTATTAAATTTTTATTTTTCACCAACAAAATTTATAAAATGTTATTTTTTAATTTATTTTTTTATCATATTTAAAATTCAAATTATTTATTTTTCAACTATTCCTTTTTTTACTACTCCTATTAAATTTAATACAAATATTATATATAAAACAAAATCGGCTTCACTTTTTTGATTATTTATAGAGGAATAGCAGTTAATAAAGACCTTGTTTTAAAGATTTCATCAGTCAAAAAATATTAAATAGGGTACCAAAAGAAGAAGTAAAATAAAAAAATTAAAAAAATGAAAATCAAAAATAATATAAATTTAATTTAAGCTTATTCATTAACTTGATTTTCTATAGAAGTTTAAAAAGCCAAAACAAGTTTTCTTAAAGCATTTTAAATATAAACATTTTACATTTATTTAATTTCTTCAGCAATAGGAAGTCTTAACAAATTTAAAGCAAAGTTTTTATTTTTTTCATTGAATAAATTTTTAAAAATAAAATCTTTAGGAAAAAATGAAATATTGTTTTCCTATATTTATTAATAATATGTTAATAATTGTCTAATATTTTCAAAATATCTAATAAAGGCAACACTCATCCCCGATTTTATAGTTCCATTTGCAAAATTATTACATTCTTCAATATTATTTACTATATTATTTTCCTTTAAATAAGGACATATACTCTATATCATTATTTATACAAACTCTGCATTATACTATTGGCTGTGAATATTTATGTTTTATGAATGTTCATATAATATATCTGAATCTAATTTAAATAAATCTCTTATGTTTTATAAACATACTTATATTGAATCTTTATCTAATGTATGGGCTTTTGGATCTATAAAAATTCTCCTTTAAACATTATCAGTAAATGAATATAGTGATTCAGCGTACATTGTATAGTTCATTTCAGGAATATATTAATAAATATTTTTAAATAAATTCTATGTCAAAAAATAATTTGCTATAAAATATACTTCAAAAATGATTATCCCAATTAAAATTTATATTGTTATTTAATAACTATTATCTTTTATCTAGTTATAATTTAAATTTATATATAAATATATTTTTTTTTACAATATTAACAAATTTTTTTTTTTTCTTTTTCTAAATTCCTTCTTCACTTAATTATATGCTTTATTAATTATTTTATTCTTTTAAATAGTCTAAATCTTTAAATGATTAAACACTTTAAATATCTTCATTATTATCATCTACTCTTATTTAAAATATGAAATTTTAGCATTATAATTATAAATGCTATTTTTTAAAAATATTTATATAAATAATTTAAATATTAAATAAAAAAATACTTATATTTAATTATTAGGAATTTCCAAAAAAAGGTAAATAATTTACATACTTTATTTATTTGCATAAATAAGAACAGGCAAAAAAAGTAATAAATCAATAATAATAAATACAGGTGTCAATATTAAAATAATAAAAAGAATATTATTTTTATCCATGACGATAAACATTAATTCCCTTATATAATAAAAGTTACTTTTCTATAATTAAATTTGATAAAAGTTAAAAATATTAAATGTAAAAAAGAACACGTCTTTATTATCACTTTTTATATTTTCAAGTTTATTATTAGCAATAAAAAGTGCATTTGCGATCATTTATTAGGTGGAGTCATTTATATCCCTAAACTCATATTGATTCTAATTTAAATACATTTTGATGTTATTTTCATGTAGAATATTGAAAAAATCACCCGAAATATAATTATCTGTATTTAATTGTAAAAAACTTGTCATTTTGTCAATATTCTCGATTTTTTTTTTTATTTCTTCCTTTATTTTTGACTCTTTCCCTATTTCATTTTCTGTATAAAGTCCCATATTTAACAATACTAAGTCCCTTATATTGCCTTCTACATAATTTAAATCGGCTAGTCTTTTATTAGAGTAATTTATTAATTAAATGAATTTTTTTATATAATCTAATTGATTTAATACAATGATATATTCAATAATTGAAAGTGATAATAATATAAAAAGAAGAATTTTTATAAGAATATTTAAAAATTTTATTGCTACAGAAATTATTGGAGTATTTATGATATCGTTAATTTTCTATTTTTGGTAAAAATTATCTTCTAAATTTTTATTTAATTTCATGTTTTCCTCATTAAAATGCATCCCGTTTTTATATGTGCTATTGTATTCATATTCCTCTTCATTATTATCTGAATTCTCATCATCAGAGTCTTTAAACTAGGATATATCAGATAATCTGTTTTTATATAATCGCATTGTTCTTATACCTTTGTCGAATAAAAAAGGAATTGCATAATTTCTTTATTGACCTTTTTTTTATTAAATAAAAATAAATTAAACAAAAATATTTATAATTATACAATATGAATATATATAAAATATATATATATATATATATATATATATATATATATATATATATATATTTATTTTTTTTCAATTTCAACATATTTTATGAAATAAAGTTGGCTTTATATTAGAATTTTTAAAATATAATTATTATTCTACTTCTTCTTAAATATCTTAATTTTTTTAAAAAGGAAGAATGCTTTAATTTTATAATTCCTCAGTTTATAATTATTAATTAGAAATTGATAGTACTGTCTAAGTATTTAATTTGTTAGTTTTAAATTCCAAATTATTATTACTTTCTTAATCTTAATAGTTTTATATTACAAATTCCCCTAAAAAAATAGAATTTTGTATCTAAAACTAAAACATATATTGATTCTTTGAATTTTAATGATTTTTTATGCAAGCATCATTATTTTAATTTGTTTTTATTTTTGATTTATCCATTTCCAATTTAACAATATAACCTAAAAGTTAATCTTTCAAAACTATAATTTCCTAAATACTCGCTTTAAACGTAATAAATTATTATATACCATTTTTAAAACCTGGAATACCTCCGAAATTTTAATGAGGCTTAAAATTAAAAACATGTCCCTATTTAATCATATATTCATTTTTATTTCTCCATAAATTAGGTAATATAACATCCAAAATGTTTTCTTTTTATTACATTTGCTTATAATCTATACTTAAATAAGAAATACATGTAGGGGTTATACTGGTAATTATCCCAGATTCATTTACGAGAAAATAGCAAACATTTTTTAAAGACCTGTCTTAACGAAATTAACCGATCATTTATTAACCATTTGTTAAAGATTCGAAAGCTTTTACATTTAAATATGCTGGAATTATATATGTACTTTTATCTATTTTTTAAAAATAATTTTTATTTTATTTTAAAAAAAAAAATTATAGAATAAATAAATATTATTTTATATCTTTAAATGTATTTTAAATAAAGGATTTTTATTTATAAAAAATTAACTAAAAAAATAATAATAATATGATATATATTTATTTTTAAAAATAAATATATGAATAATAAATATTAAATTAATTATTTTATATTATTTATTTATATATTAAAAATCCTTTAATAAAAATAATATAATATTAAATAAATTAATATATGTTTTTTTTTTTTACGAAAAGTAAAAAAATACCGCTCATCTTTTAAAGTAGTCAACTCGTTATTATTAAGATAATTTTCTAAAAAAGAATCATGAAAATTACTATATAAAGATGGCATTAATGTATTTAGTTTCTTGTTTATAAGTTCAGTTTTCGTATATCCAAAAAACGCACAAGAACTCAAGTTTGTATTAATAATTAAACCTAGTTTATCGGTTTCTAGGGAGATGATTATGATGGGTTGGGAATCGCTATTTTTTTCTTAAGTATTTATGTTTTTTATATTACTTTTATCAATTTAGTTGATAAAATTTACTTAGTTTAATAACTATTAGCCTTAGTGATTATCATAGAGGATATCCATTAAATAATTAGCATATAGAATGATACTTTTTGATCTTTTATTACATATTTTACTCAACTTATTCCAATTTTCTTATACTTTAATTTTGTATTTGTATATTTTCCTTCCAATTAAATATACTTTTTACAAATCAGGAGCTTCCTCAATTAATTAAGTCCAGAAATCCAAATGAGCTTCGCTAGAAAGATCGATATTAATTTTCAATTTAAAGAAGACTTCTTAATATCTCATTTCATTAATAATATCTAATGCTCCGATTTCTTAATTTTGATTATTATTAATTGAGTTTTTTTATTTTTTTATTCTATTTAATAATTTCATCTTCAATAGTAATTTTTAACATAAAAATAATAAACTAAATATCAAAAGAAGGAAAATGCTCTTCGGCATTTAAAAGTTCATGTAATGCAATTTAATTAAACTTCATTTTTTCGATTAATAAATAAACGAATTAAATTTTAATATTAATATTATTTGGGAACATATTAATTCCTTCATTTAACATTTAATAAACTAAATAAATTAAAATGGCCTATTTTTCCTTTCTAATATTCATATTATTTACTTAAATTTATTTCACGATTCTTTGAATTTTCTAATTACTGTTTTTCTATAAAATCGGACAGTCTTTTTTTTAACAATTTTATTTATGAATTTCGAAATATCCATCTAAAATAATCGTATTTTCTTCGCTAATAGTATATTCTTCGATTAATTTTAATAATGTTCTAACCTATTATAATAATTCTCGTCCTGTTGAATATTTATTTACGTTTCCAATTAAAAAATCTATGTTTTCGTCTCTTTGGATACTTATATATATTATTATGCATGGTAAACCAATTATCCATATAACTACTGTTCCTTCAAAAAATCTACCTTCTAATAAAATACAAATTACTAAATTTATCGATGTCCAGATATTTAAAGATATTAAAATATTCCATATTTTTTAATATAAAATATTTTTAAAAGGATTGTTAAAATAAAGTTGCTGAAATATTATGACTGATCCAGATAATATTATAACTATTATTATATAGGAAAATTCGGAGGTGTCTAAAAATATAAATAATAGAACTAATATTGTCTTATATATAGTTAAATTATAATTAAAATATCCGTTTTATCTTGCTGTAGGATCTTAAGTATCTAATCTTCCGTCGAAATAAATTAATACCTGTTTTGTAAATGTATAAATATATAGAAGAAAAAAAATTTACTATTTTTAATAATAAAAAAAATAAAATTAAAGAAAAAAAAGTGCCAATAAAACAATGAAAAATATGAATTCCAGTCCAACATTCGATTTCAATGAAATACTTATGATATTGTTTCTTTGAATTATCATTTTTCAATTCATAGCATTTAAAAATATTTAATAAATAATCAATTATTGGTATATAGAGAATTGTTGTTGTATATAGTATTTGATATTTTAAAATTGTTATAAGCCATTAAAAATGCATTTTGTTTCTATTTTATTGACTTATGTAATATATTAAAGATATAAATATCAATATTAAAAATACTATTAAGTAAAATATTATTATATATATTAACCAATCTAAATTTTTTACATATGTAAATAATAATGTCCTATTTAAAACTGCTTCTAATATATCTGTAACAGTATTTGAATTCCACAATTATTTATTTATTGATGTAAATGAGAAATTTATTATTTAAAAAAATTCAATTATTGATAAGAATGTGGCAGTAAAAAATGAAATTTCTTCTTCACATAAGACTTAGTAAATAACTTAAAATAAAAAAAACTTTAATGAATTTTATATTCTTTAAAAAATTGAATTTTCTTTATTATAAGAATTGTATTTTTAATTGTTCATATTAATATATATATTTTTATGTATAAATAATATGTTTTTATAATTTTTTTTTTTTGAATCTATATTTTTAAAAATAATAATATTTAAATTACTATTAATATATATAGTTTAAATTGAATATTTTGTTTGCTTGTTTTAAATTATTTATTTATACAAAATTATATATATGTTTTTTTTATTAATATTATAAAATACTTTATATATGTTTATATTAATAGACTTTAACATAATCAATAATTTAAAATTATAATCAAATATTATAATGAATTATATAATAAAATATTAGAAATTATGTAATTTTAAAAAAAATTGATTATTATCTTTTTCTGTTCTTAAAACAGCATTTAATATTATTTCCATTTATAAATTCTAATTATATTTTTATTATATTTATTATTATTTTTTTTTTTAATTTTTATTTTGATATTTGATTATTTTTTAAAAAATAAGTAAATTAAAAATAATTTATTCTCTCTAAATAATTATAAATAAAATATATTATTAATTTTTAATTTCCAAATATATATTTTCTATGAGTAATAATTGTATTTAAATTTGCAATAATAAATTTTAAGCATGGGATGCAGGTAGGTCTTTTTGTAAAAAGGGATGTAGTTCTGAAGAAGAAAATATGTAAAGAAAATCTATATTATTATTATTACATAGCAATTATTAAATTTACATACAAATAATTTATTAATAATAATAAAACAATATTAATTATTAGAAAAGCTTGTAAAGATGTTACATGTAATAATTTATGTATAAAACATGAATTAGGAGAAGATGATAGTAATACTAAATTAGGAAGTAATAATTATATAATTTTTTTTTTTTCATACTTTTATATATTTATCATTAGCTTGGTCAAAAATCTTCGCAAGAGCTCCTTCAGATCCGGTAAACTGTTTAAATGCTTGCATTTCAGGTATATAATAAATAATTAAAAAAAATTAAATATATAAATAATTTTTAAAAGGATGTAACTATAAAAGAGATTACTAATAAAATGATGATTGAAATATTAAGTTATATTAATTTAAAAATATTAAAATATATGTTATTATAATTTATAAATTTTAATAAAATTATTTATTATAAATATTCACTTATATTTGAATATTTAAATGTTAATATTAAATAAAATTAAAAAATAAAAACTTTTAAACATAGAAAATTGTATTATTTATATTAATTTTAAAGAAATACATATTTATTTTACAATAAATATTTTTAAAGAATTTAAATTATTGATATTATTTAAAATTGATCTTTTATTATTAATTCATTTCATTTTTAGTTAAAAATAAAATAATAAACTATTAAATTTTTAAATATATACTTAACTTTATTTACTAAAATTAAATAATTAAAAACAAAATTAAATTTATATATTAAAAATAATGTTTATCATTTATATAACTCTTTATAAATATAAAAAAAATTATTAATAAAACAGGCATTTATAAATTATTTGTTAAAAGATAATATTTGTTTTTAAAAAAAATTATAAAGAAATTATATTTGATAATTTATACACAAAACTTTAAAAAACAATAATTGTATAAGTATAAGAAAAAATTAGAAATTAAAAATTAATTTACATTAATATATTATAATTTAATTTTTTATATTTTATTACTAATAAATATGGTGATAACATTTTATAATTCACTTTAAAATTTTTTTTATCTAATAAATAAAAAATTAAAAGTAAATATTTATTTGTATAAATAATTTTTTAAAATGATATATTTCTAAAAGTATTCCATAAAATATTAAGTTTCTTTCTTTTTTTTTATTTCTTCTAATTTAATAATTAAGATATAAATAATTTTTTTAAATAAACAAAAAATTATTTTGCTGTAATATATGGTAATAATATTGCTGAAGAAAAAATTGGAAAAAAAGATTACTAAAATCATGTGAATATGATTACGTTTTTTTGATCTTTATGGATTACGTAAAACCTAGTTTAATCGCAATTCATGACCAGTATCTTTTTATACACAGTAGATTTATTGAAAGCTTTATAAAATAATCATTAAATGAAAATATATAAATAATTTGCTTATTATTTTTAAGCTTTTTAATGAAGTTTATATTCAATAATTTACCCAAGGATGATATAATTGTTTAAAAAATAGATTCTAATAATTGTTAGATGATTTAGGTGATTTAATTAATGTTAATTAGATTCAAGATACAGAAATTAATAACGATGAAAAATATACTTTGTAACAATAGTTTTCGAAAGATTAAAAATTTACTAAATATTTTCATTTAATATGGAGATTTAAGTTTTACTTCAAAAGCTTCAAAATGTATTTTCAATGAACATAAAAAAAAATATTTTTCGAATAAATTTAAGGGATTTTGATAATTTATAAAGTAAATGAAATTAAATATTAAAGTTGAAATTCGATGAATAGATTAAGTTGAAATATTTATTTAGGTAATATATTCATAAAAATTCCCTATAATGTTAAATTATATAATTTAAGTAAAAAAGAAAACTTTATTATAATAATGTTAGATTAAATAAATTGAAATATGAAAGCAAAGTTAAAGAATTTCGAGTGCAATCAATAAAGTGATGTAAAATATGGTTAAATATAATAAAAAAATAAAATATATGTATCTTCTTTAAAATAATAAATTTATTATAAAATAATTTACATATAAAATTAAAAAATAACACTATATAAAGTAAGAGTTGCGAATAAAAATTTTAAAAAAAAATTATTTAGATAATAATATTTTAGTAGATTTTTATTAAATAAAATAGATATAATTAATTATATAAAATTAAATATATTGATAATTTAAATAATCTATTTATTTATATTTATATAAAATTATATATATATATATATATATATATAAATATATAATATATATTTATTTATTAATTATATACATATATTTTATTTTTTTATATTAATGATTTTGATTTATAATTCATTAATTTTATGTAAAACTATAAATTAAAGTTGAAAATATTTAATTTATTCCTTTTAATGATTAATTTAATAGATATTATCCTGTTTATGTCGAATGCATTTTTAAAATTTAATTCAGATTATCTTTTTCTTTTTTTAGTCTCTTTTTTTAAAAAAATTATTAAAAATTTATTAAAAAAAAATATTTTATTTAATTATAAAATTCTATAAAAAAATACTTCTCTTTCTTATTTCCTAATTTTTTCTTTATAATAATTTTATAATATCCTTGCTGATTTATCATATAATTTATTCGTTTCAATTTAAGATTAATATTCTAATAATAAATCTTTATCTTTATTTATAATCTAAAGAGTTCTATCATAATTTTCAGTAATTAATTATTTTTCTCTCTATTAATAAAAATTAATTATAAAAAAAAAAATATAAAAGAATTATAATACTTATATTTCTAAAAACTTCCTTTCAATTAATTCATATTATTTTTTGCTTTATTCATCTTATTCTTTTAATGTTTTTCTAAGATTAGTTTCTTATATTTTTAATTATTCTATATCGTTTAATAATTAATTATTATTATTTTCTAAATTTTTAATTATTTTTTAACTTTTGTCTTTTTCTCTTTTAAATCTAATTTTTTTTAACAAATTCTATATTGTAAATGCACTTTTTTTAAGCTTTATCGTGTCTTCTAAAATTTCTATTTCTCCTTCTAATTATTACTTTTTCCTTATTTATACTTATTTTGATTTTTTCAAATACATTATTTATATTTTTTAAGAATTTAAATATTATTCATTATTTTTTATCAATTCTTTATATTTTTCTATATAAGTTCTATTTTAATTAACTATTTCTGTTTACTTTTAATATTATTACTCTAAGTTGTTTTATTTATAAATCAAATCTTCTAAAGATTTATTTTTTTCTTCCAAAAGAGAATTTAACTCCTCGCAAAAATTTTCTTTTTATTAAAGATTTTTTTATAAATCTTCAAATTATTGATTAAAATTAAAAAGTTTGGTATTCATAAGATTTCTAATTTCCTAAATTTCTCTATTTTTTAAATCATTTAAATTTATTTTTTCATTGATTTGATTTTTGAGCAAAATTATTTGATTTATATAAGACTTTATAATTTATTTAGTTTAGATTTTTCTGAATAATTTTTAAATAATCAAAACTGATAATTATTATTATTATTCTTAAATTAAAATTATATTTTGTTATATGTCAATTTATAATTGATTTAATTAATGGACTAGTTATTATTTATTTTCTTATAAATTTTAAATTTTTTCTTGTAAAATTTTCTTTTCTTCATCATGTTCTTGTTTTTAATTATTATATTTTTCTATTAATGTTTCTATTGTTTTATTATTTTCTTAATTTTTTATTTCTAATTATTATATTTTTTATTCTTTTTCTAACTCTATTTATATGATTTTTTCTTCTTTTTATTATTCTATTTATATGATTATTTGTTCTTTTTCTTATTTTATTTATTAAATTAATTCTTCTTTTTCTTTTTTATTTATTAAATTAATTCTTCTTTTTCTAATGTTATTTTATTTAATATATCCTCATATTTTTAAATTATTTCTTCTTTTTCTTTAAAAATTTCTACTTTTTCCTTTTAAATTTCTTATTTTTCTTATAGAATTTTTTTTTATTATTATTTTATTTTTTAAATTTCTTATTCAAAATTTGTTATTTCATTTTCTTTTTTTTCAATCTCTTATTCATATTTTTTTATATCTTTTTCACATTTATCTTAAATATTTTCCTTTTCTTAATTTAATAGTTCTATTTTGATTTAATTTTATTCTGTTTATTTTTATAATTCTTGTATGTATATTTATATTTGACCTTCTAAATATTAATTCTTATCTTTAAAATAATTATTTTATTCAATTTATTCATCAATTTAATTTTACAGTTTTTATATTGCATTTACTTTTTCTTCTACTTATATATTTATTTTTTGTAATAAATTATTTTTTTCTTCTATTTATATATTTTTTAAACCCAATTCATCATTTATTAATTAAAATTCATCATTTTTTTATTATAATTCTTAACTTATTTATTCAAATTGTTTATTTTTAATACATATTACTTCACTTTATTATTAAAATTCAGCCTTTAATTATTCAAATTATTCACAAATAGACTAAAACTAATTATTTTTATATTAAATTTCTAAAGATTGTAATTCAAATTCTTTATTTTTTTAATCCAAAATTTTATTTTAAGCTATAACTTTATCATTTAACTAACTTTTTAAATCAATCTACTAAAAAACTTCCTTCAATTGATTTTCTTTAATAAAAATGTCATCTTTTAATTATTAAACAAGTACCTATTATTCTTCTTAAGTATTTTTAAAATTATTTTATTAGAATAAAAATTCTTAAATTTCCTTATTTTTATTTTCCAAAGTTTAATTTAAATTTTCACAAACCATTTTTTTTTCCTCTAGATCAATTTTAAATTAACTTATTTAATTTTCAAACTAAAAACATTAATTTTAACTAAATTAAATAAGCTCATCAATTTTAATTTCTAATTAATTAATAATTAAATTTTATCCTCCTTCCTAACTTTAATTTTACATTTATTAATTTTCATTTGACAATTTTTCACATTTCATTTCTAATTCGTTTATTTATTTAATAAAATTATCTTCTCTTTCTTTTTATTTTTTTTCCAAAACTTAAATTTATCCTTGCATTTCTAAAATCTCTTTTTCAGTTTTTTCCTTTTCACTTTCACTATTTTTAAACTGATTTTATAAATTTTGAATCTGTTTATTTTTTTCTTTACAATTTTCATTAATCTACTCTATATATTTCACATATTATTCAATACTCTAAATTAGTTTTTAATTCTCATTTTTTAATTTATCGATCTCATCTTCTTATTCAACTAAAGTTTTATCTACTTCACCTAAAAATTATTTATATTCGTTTTCTGTTTTTTATAATAATTCCTTATACTTATTTCCAACCCAGCTCAGTTCGCCCTTATTTTGGGAATTTTCTTAAGCCTAAAGCATTTCCTTTTACAATTCTTTAATTTAACTTAATAATTTTTTATTATTAATATCCAATTAATATATCTAATCATCTTTTTCATCAATTTCCTGTTATAACTATACTGAAAGTATATAATAGTCCTTATATTTATTCACCACAGGCTTATTAGTTACTTTCATAGCCCTTTATCCAAAAGAAAGTGAAGAAATAGTCTCATCAAAATATTTAATGGAAGGCCCTATAGTAACAATTAAACTTGTTTTCGAATTTCCACCTAATGAATCTTATAATAATCTTGTAAGTTTGGATTCTCTAAAAGGAATAAAAATACATTTATTATCACTTAAGGCTTATATACATTTTCCCAAAGCACTTAAACTGCTATTTATGGCTTTGGCCTCGTCTAATCTTTCTCCTGTGGATTTTGATTTTTTTATTCTTTCAGATCCTGCTAAATCTACCATACATAAAATTGACGTTATTAATTACTGATCATTAACAAAATTTTCATCACTAAGAGGAATATTAAAAGAGCTGGAATTATATTATACTATAGAATTACTTGTGCAACCAGCATTATTAGTAATTAATTAATTATTATTTTATTATTATTAATATTATTATTATTATTGTTATTATTATTATTATTATTTTTGATTATTAATAATAATATTATTATTATGTTAAATCTATAATTATTTGTTTTTTTCGTTTTTATATTTAAACCATTAAAACTAAATGACTTCTGCTTGAGCATGCATTTAATCTTTTTTTTTTTCATATTGTTTTTTTATAATTTAAATATTTTTACACTGTAAATGCTACTGAACGATTTTTTTCAGTATATTCGATTAATTGTAGCGCTTCTTACGGCGTTTTAACTATTATCCAATCTATTCCTGTTATAAAAACTCCATTTTCTGGAGATTCTCTAATTCTAATTTACTGATTTTCCGGATTTAATAAATCTTATAACATTTCCATATATATTTATATGCATCCTATTTATATAGAATATGAAAATTAATTATCATACTCTATTTTTTAAAATATGTCTTCTAGTCCTCTTGGTATTATTCCTTTTTGATCTGTTTTGTATTTCCTAACATTGTATAGGTTTTTCCTGTTCCTGTTTATCCATATGCAAATATTGTACCGTTAAAACCTTAAATTACACTATCTATTACTGGTTTAGCTACAGTTTCGTAAATTCCTTTTTGCTGTATTTTAGGCTCAAAAATTGCATTGAGTTAAAATAATTTTTTTTCATAATCTTTTTTGACTTTATTTCATAATTTTGATATATATATATATATTTTTTTTTTGTTCAGATTATTATTTATTTACCACATATTAATTAGTTTTTTGGATCAAAACTATCTATACTACATTATTTACATATTTAATATTCTTCTTCTAAAAAGGGACGGAGTCTTACATATACTTATACTTTTTCTGGCTTTTTTTAATCTGATGTGGGTTATATACATAATTAAGGATCTTTTTTTTTTGTTAATATTTTTATTTTTATTTTCTTACAAGTTATAGCCTAAGATTATGAAGATAATTACTATTCATTATTTTCAGTTAATATTGGCTATTTATTCATTTTGTTTGTTTTTCAAATAATTTTTTGTTAATATATTATGTGATTTTAATGTTACTTTTTTTGTTTATTTAAATTTATTTTTTAAATAACGATTCAATTTTTTTATATTTTTAAATTGAAATTAAAATAATGAAAATATTTAAAAGATTATAAATTATAAAAATATATAAAATTTTTATAATAATAACAAATCAACTAAAATATATATATATATATTATTAGGAAAATTATAATTTTTTTTTTTTTTTTTCAAATTATAAATTTTTAGATGTAAATAATGATAAGAAAATATTATAAATATATAAAAAATTATTTCAAAAAAATAAAAATTATTATTGAAACTATCTAAAAATATCCAAAAATAAATAAAAAATATAATTTTTGCCTTAATTTAAAAATATAAATTAATTCCTTTATATAAAAATAACTATATGAATTAAGAAATTGAATCGCCATTAAATCCCTAAGAAGATAGTAGTTTTCGAAGTACTAAAGGCTTTTCAAGTTTTTAGAATCACAGAAATTCCTCCTTTAATAAAACCAACGATTTAAGGAAGCGTACATTACCTGTAGTAGAAAGCTACAACAGTTCAAAATAGCCTGATATCGAAAATTATTTTGATATATAATAACAAGTAACAAAATATTTTTTATTTGAGAATTTTCTTGAAAAAGTAGGAACTTAAGATTGGTATTAAATTCGTTCTTTTGTGCTTTTTTGTGTTTAATTTTTTATAGTGGGTTGTTTTCGAATGTCCAAAAATTATATTTTCACAATTCCTGTATATCCGATATTTTAAAATATATCAAAAGAAAGATAATGTGAAATCTTTTAAAATGATCTAAATAAAATAATTCCAAATAATCAATTTTATTCAATTACTATTTAATATGAACTATATTGCGATAAAGAATATATAAGATAATTATGTGGTTTTTTACCTTCAATTGTGGCAGTTTTTAGTTATCTTATTTTTGGCTATTTAAGTGATAATTATGGAAGGAAACATGGTCTTAATTTAGCTTGGAAAATTTTTTTAGTTGGTATAATTATTTTTACATGTACATAAGTCTTTCCATTAGTAATGATTGGATATATTTTTGCTAATTTTGGGGCTTTTGCAATTATTGTTATATAAGTAGCACTTATTAATGAATAATCAAGTATATAAGTAAAAAAATATATTTATTTAGTTAAAACATTATATAAATATATAAAAATGTAATATATAAAAATATAAATATATAAATATCCATATTTATACTTATAATTTTATTTAAAATAAAGCTGGAAGGATAAGAATTATTTCATGTATTAGTATATATACTTCTTATTATTTTGGTTAATTAATGTTTTCTATCTTTGTTTTTTAAATTGATAATTGGAGATCTTTAATTATTTTTAGTGTTTTATTGCCTGTTTTTATCATGACTTTTTATCTTTCTATTTTTTAAGAAAGTCCGCGTTATTATTATATTAAAAATAAATTAAAAGCCCTAAGGCTGTTAAATTCTATTGCTTATTATAATAATAGGCAGATTTTAAATATAGATTTAGAAAAAAGTTCTTGGAGTGAAGAAAACAGAGATAAAAGGATAAAATTTAGAATTTTATTTTAATTTTATTCTACAAGGATGGGTCTTTTGATTGGATGTGTAATATTTCTTTGCGGAGATATGTTTTTCTATTTTAGTGAAGTGTAAATTTTTAATAAAAGCGTTCTGCTTTCTCTTCAACAATAAGGCATGCTTATGTCCATTGTAGATTTATTAGGCTGCTTTTTCTGTATTTTTTTCATTAATAAATTTAGGAGGAAAATATAACTTGTGATAGCATGTTTGTTTATGTTAATTTTAATTATTATCAATTAAACAATAACGTAATAACCTCGTATAGCATACATTTTTAGTTAATTTTGGCTTTATTTGGCAGGTTTTTTAGTTAATATTTTAAGGGTGTAGCTTTTGTTTATTTTTCAGAATATTTTCCAACTATTGTAAGATGTACAGCAATGGGTATTCTTTTTGGTATATCGGAAATAGGTATATACTAATTACTATTAAATATATAATATAAAAAATTAAAAAAAAAAAATTTTTTATTTTTTTATTATATTAAATAATAATAAAGGTTCGATTTTAATATTTGTTATAAGATTAATGAAATTTTAAATTATGGTTTAATTAGTAAGTCTTGTATTTGTGGCAATAGTTACTATTATACATTTGTATTTTATACAAGAAAAAAAAATGGATTAAAGTTAAAGAAAATTTCATGTTTAGGATGAAATTAAAGAATTAGCACATGGCTATTAAGATTATTTTTATTTAGAAAAATGAAAAGAATATAAAAATAAAAATGTAAATAAAATTGAATATAAAAAAAATATGTCATAAATTTTATTTTTTATATATTTTTATTTGTAAATTGAAAAAGAAAGGGTAAAAAATTTGTTTGAAATATATTATATATAAATTTAAAA